ATAGATAGATAGATAGATAGATAGATAGATAGATAGATAGATAGATAGATAGATAGATGTAAAAGACAAAGGTGGAACTTGGAGTGTGTTTATCTTGTACTGTGCTAGGAAGAGTTGAAAGTCAATGCCTCCCTTTTCTTTTTCTCTTACCCCTTGTATTTTACACCTCCTTTCCTGTTCCCTTTCCCTCTCTTAATTTCCCATTTTCTTATCTTTTTTTATATATTATACATTAAAAAATATTAAATTTGGGAAAGAGAAAAAATGGCCTGCTGATCCAGCATGCTACCTTCTGACCCCCTTTCTCTCCTGGAAGAAGGCTTCTCTTTCTCCCCCCACTCCCACTCGATCCAGGAGACCATGGTCCCACCTGGCTGGGTCTTCTCTCGAGACCCTATGGGAGCTTCTTGCCAAGATGCCCTCTTTTGCCCAACCGTCGCTCTTCAGAGCAACCCTCCCCTCTCCTTCCTCTCTTCTCTAATTATAGCCGCAGCCAATTTGCATGTTGTGTTCAGCTAACAAATTACCAGGAGTTTTCGGGGAGAAGGTTTTTCTTTTAATTGGTTTGGAGTTCCTGAGAAGGGAACAAAATTGGAAGCCGAGAACAGAGAGCAATAAATATTTTAAAAGTGGAAGAACAAGAGGAGGAGGAGGAGAAGGAGGAGGAGATGGTGGTGTTGGAACCAGAAGCTGTGCTAGAAATGGAGGCCAGGATACCAGCCCTGTTATGTTGTGCCATAAAGGAAAACTGATGACAGACAGTCTTTTTCAGCCTGATTTTTCTCCTTCAAGGAGCAAAGGGAAGTGAAGAGTTTCTAGATTGGGATAAATCAGTGTTTCTCTGCATTTGCGGAGCAGCAGAGGTAGAAGATCTGGCTCACATCCAGAGGTTGCATTCAGTTGGTTCAGACCGGCTCTATGCTGTCCTATTTAGCCATGTTTTTGAGGCTGGGCGCATGTGTGGAAGGGGCAAACCGGTGGTAACAAAATGTGAAACCCAGCGCTACTCACATCCTATTCGATTGTTACCTGTAGAAGAGGGTGAGAGGTACTGTATTTTTCAGAGAATAAGACGTACCTTTGTCCATCCAAAAAAGAGGGTGAAAATCTGGGTGTGTCTTATACACTTAATACAGAAAAACCCTGCGCCATGCATCCCGTTTTTCGCAAAAATGGACGTGCAGAGGGTTTGGGAGGCCTGCAAAGTGCTCTTGGGGGCTGAGGAGGGAAAAATGAGTGAACAATGGGCCTGTTTTTCACACAAATGAGGGTTTTTTTGCCCTCCCAAGCCCCCAGAACTCTGCAGGCCTCCCAAACTCTCTGCATGCCCCATTTTGCACAAAGAATTCTTGCAGAGTGCTCCTGGGGGCTGGGGAGGGAAAAAGCTTTTTATAAAAAAAATTACCTCTTCAAAATCTTGGTGCGTCTTATACTCCAGTGCGTCTTATAGTCCGAAAAATACGGTACATGATTTTTGGCACGTGAGGAAGAAAAGGTTAGCCACCCCGGTTCTAGGCCAACTGAAGACCTTAGCAAAGCACGTTTTACCCAAAGGATGACCCCCTTGCACGCCACGAGAGGGACTTATGCATCTGAATATACCTATAAGTGACAAGTGTGGTCAGGTGTGGGTGAGTTTCGGCCCTGAAGAATCACCAGGGGAGATCACCAAAAAGGACCCCATGGTGATTCTGACATGAAAACAGGTCAGCTGGATCTGTTAACCCTTATCAACAAATGCACCTAACCGGCCAGTTTTGTAATGATCTCCTAGCTTCCAACTTCCAAAAAAGAACAGAAACAGAATTATTGCAACCCCTCATACGTGGAACGAGTTGAAAGTAGAAAATGAAATAAGGGGCATGAATCGTAAGAGATTCCCCACTCCAGGTAAACGAGAAGTTATTTTAAAAAGGTCTTGCTACCTGCAATGTATACCCTCATCTCATTTTTTGTCTTAGGTGTGAAATACATGTTGCAGTTTTTAATATTTTTTTATGGCCAAGCCTCTTTTGCTAGAGGTGAATAGCAGAAGTTCAGATGAGTATTTGGGTATTAAAGCCATTTCTATATACATGTAAAAATTCCACACAAATTATCTTCAAGTACTTCTCCTAAACAAGAGGAACTAGAAACTTGATTGGAAACCTCATCAAGTTGTGAAAGTAGAAAAGGCGGGGGAGGGAATCATCAGATTTTCTGAGAGATGCAGATGATTCTTCACTTATGACCGGCCACTCAGCAAGCATTTAAACTTATGACAGACCCCCCCCTCCCCCAAACGCTTCTTGCGATCCAATTTTGAAATTACAACGGCTTCCTCAGTCACATGACTGAATTTTGGATTGGCAGCTTCCAGCCTCTTATATTCATGTGAAGTTTGATGGGGGTTTTTTTTGGCTGCCTCACAGGCTTAATTCTTGTTTCTGGCAAAAAAAAAAACCCCACCCATTGGGTAAAACAGATTTGCTTAAGGACCTCCACGTTTGCTTAACGACTGCTATAGTTGGCTCAATTACGGTCATAATTCGAGGACTACCTGTGTCCCTTCTCACACTCTCCATTTCTCTGTTTGTAGGGCGAGTAGAGGTCTCTTACTTCTTCCCCCTACCTGGATTGCAGGTGTTCCAGCTGCACTTGGAGATTTTCACTCTGTTCCGTCTGCTCATCCAGCGACCTCTGCAATTTGCGGGCTTGGTTATGAGCCTCATCGAGCTGCAAGGGGCAGAGACCACAGCATTTATTGATTTATCTATGTACATGTATGCGTATTTATGTATACATAGAGACTGGGTGAAACCAGGCTTAATAGCAGCAACTGGGAGAGGGATCTTGGAGTCTTGGGGGACAACCAGCTAAATAGGAGCCAATAGTTTGTGGGGGCAGCCAAAAAAGCCAACACAATCCTAAACTGCATTAACAGAGAGATACAATCAAGATCAAGGGAGGTCCTAATACCAATCTATAAAGCCTAACCCTAAAACCACACCTAGAGTACTGCATCCAGTTTTGCTCACCACACTATAAAAAAGATGTTGAGACTCTAGAAAAGTGCAGAGAAGAGCAACCAAGATGATTAAGGGGACTGGAGGCTAAAACATACAATGAACGGTTGCAGGAACTGGGCATGGCTAGTCTAGGGAAGAGAAGGACCAGGGGAGACATGATAGCAATTGTCTAATATTTGAGGGGCTGCCACAGAGAGGAGGGGATCAAGCTATTTCCCAAAGTACCCGAAGGCCAATAATGGATGGTAATTGACAAAGGAGAGATTCAACCTGGAAATAAGGAGACATTTACAGGTAGTCCTCGAGTTACGGCCACAATGGAGCTCCAAGTTTTTCTGAATTTTGTCCCATTTTATGACCTTTCCGGCCACAGTTGTTAGTAAGTGAATCACTGTAGCTGTTCAATGAGCAACAAGGTTGTTAAATGCATCTACAGTAGCTTCCCATTGACTTTGCTTATCAGAAGGTTGCAAAACGGGATCACTGCAACCGTCATAAGTGTGAGTCAGCTGCCAAGCATCTGAATTTTGAACTCGAGACCCTGGGGAGGCAGTGGTAAAAGTGTGAAAAACGGTATTAATTTTCCCCCGCTGCCATCGCATCTTTGAACGGTCACTAAATGAACTGTTGCAAGTCTGGGGCTACCTGTATCTTGCCATAGGCTTATGGAACCTGAGCCCCATCCACAGAAGGTGGGGGGGGGGGCTGGCCCCTTCTTCAGCCTTGACTTCCTCCGTCTTCTATTCTTGCAGGTCCAATAAAAAAGGGGATTGAAATACTGAGGGCTCCATTTGCCTGATTCAGTACAAGGTCACTTGAAATAAATGGCTGCACAGATCTTAAGTCAGCCAGTAATGGAAACCAGCACTTCTTGTCCAATTTTATGCCTCTTTTTTTATCACTCTTAGATGAAACTGTCTCAGACAAAATTGGATCCTGAGTCTGTTTTGTCTTTTTTTCCCCCTGGCTTGGGAGCAGCACTCCGGGAAGTTCCAAGAAATCTCTTCCCAAACATGGATGAATAGGAGACATTGATTGAACTAACAGAATAACAGAGCTGGAAGGGACCCTGGAGGTTTTCTAGTCTTCAAGCAGGTGACCCTGTACAATTTGAGACAAGTTGCTGTCCAATCTCTTTTGAAAAACATCCAGTGAAGAAGCTCCCACAACTTCCAAAGATAACTTCTGTTCCGTGGGTTGATTGTTCCCACTGTCAGAAAGTTCCTTCTTATTTCCAGGTTGAATCTCTCCTTGTTCACTTTCCATCCATTATTCATTGTCTGGCCTTCGGGTGCTTTGGAAAATAGTTTGACCCCCTCCTCTCTGTTGCGGCCCCTCAAATATTGGAAGACTGCTATCCTGTCTCCCTTGGTCCTTCTCTTCACTAGACTAGCCATGCCCAGTTCCTGCAACAGTTCATCATATGTTTTAGCCTCCAGCCCCCTAATCATTTTTGTTGCTCTTCTCTGCACTCTTTCCAGAGTCTCAACCTCTTTGCTGATTTCAGGAGGAACTTTTAGCTAGGAGCCTCTTTTACATGCTGTCTGCATGCTCTCCCATCTCCAGCGGAACCATCTAGATAATTTGTGCATGACAATCATTAAAACCCCCAGGAGGGTTGGTCCTTTTGAAATCAATGGGATTTATGACGATTCGATCTATCAGTCATTCTTCAATGTGTGTCCGGTCTTAAATCTCAAATGGTGATTCCAGAAGCCATAAAATATGAATGGTGTAATACGGTACTTAGACGTCAGCAAATGACATAAAAAGACAGAAGACAAAGCATTTCCACGGAATCAATAGAAGCCAATTAAAATGAGCTCAACCCCAAGCGCATTCGGTATTGGGCACAACAAGGCTATTCAGGGGCCAAAGAGGAGATGTAATCTGAATAAAAAATGCATTTTCTCCTCCATTGTAGCTGAAGATGGAACTTAATGGGTCTTCCTTAGCAATAATGAGCAGAGCTTGGTAAAATTAACCCTGAGATAGATATATAATGTACTGTATTACACCATTCATATAGCTGTATTTCATTGGCTTCTATATCTGGCTAACAGTGTCTGGAGCAAACATTTTGCCTTCCTGATTTATATGAAGGGGAAAACAATAAACAGCAAAAAAGTATTAAGAGGTTAAGATTAAGTCATACCATCTTTTAGGGCCAGGCTAACTACAGATAGTTACATGGGACGCGGTGGCTCAGTGGCTAAGATGTCGAGCTTGTCGATCAGAAAGGTCGGCAGTTTGGCGGTTCAAATCCCTAGAGCCATATTATGGAGTGAGCTCTCGTTACTTGTCCCAGCTCCTGCCAACCTAGCAATTTGAAAGCATGCAAAAATGCAAGTAGAAAAATAGGAACCACCTTTGGTGGGAAAGTAACAGCGTTCCGTGCTCCTTTGGTGTTTAGTCATGGCGGCCACATGACCATGGAGACGTCTTTGGACAGCGCTGGCTCTTCCGCTTTGAAACGGAGATGAGCACCGCCCCCTAGAGTCAGGAACGACTAGCACCTTTACCTTTAAAGTTGCAAAGTCAGCAGATGGCAACTCACCTCATCCTCCGCTTGAGCCAGCTCCTTCTTGAGTTCCTCTACCCGCAAGCGCAACTTCTTCACTTCTCCCTCATGCTGCTCCACTCGCCGCGTCGTGTGGCCCAGTTCGGCCATCTTCTCCTGGTGCTGCTTCTTCAGTTTGGCATGGACGTGCTTCAGGTCAGCCAACTCCTGAAGGACAGAAGACCAGCTTGGACTGGGGAGGGGCGAGGGATGNGTCCTCTAATCCTCTTGGTTGCTCTTCTCTAGTAACGTTAGGGAGGAGACGAAGGAGGAAGAATGGTGGAGAAGGAGAAGGAGTGGCAGTGAAGGAGAAGGGGAAAGAGAAAGGGTAGGAAGGGGAAGAAGAGAGGAGGAGTGGGGGAGAGGGAGGAAAAGAAGAAAAGAGAGAGGAGGAAAGAAGAAGGTAGAGAAGAAGGGAGGTTGGGAGGAAAGGAGATTGAAGAAGAAGTAGGTTTATTGTAAAATAAGATAGATGTATGAGGTGGCAGGAAAGAGACCCTGATTATATTTTTAAATTTTCAAATGGATTGTGATAAATGTTAAAAGATAACACATAAATATCAGTAGTACTTATGAGAATGTATATTTGTGAATGTATATGAGAGAAAAAAATAAAACTTAAAGAAAAAGAAGGAGAAGGAGAAAGAGAAGGAAAAGGAGAGGTCAAGAGGAGGAGAAACAATCAAAAGATACATTAAATCAGTGGTTCCCAAACTTGGCAACTTTAAGACTTGTGGACTTCAACAGTTGAAGTCCACAAGTCTTAAAGTTGCCAAGTTTGGGAACCACTGCATTAAATGGACACATCTATATCTTTGCCTACTTTGGACAAGTGGAGAAGACTAATGTGCAGTGATGTTGGGTACATGTTTCCCCAGAGAAGTGGTTTCTTAGGCACATTGTGGACTTGACTTTATATATTGCAGTTCGAAAAATGCTCATTTTGCTACACTTCATGACAAGATCCTTGAACCTTTGCCATTTAGATCCCAACTCTGCCTTTTTTCATGAAGTTTCAAGCCCATGGGAATGGTCAACGACCCATCAGCCCCCCATACTGCCAACCAGGGGTGTCAAATTCAATTTGATTGAGGGCCGCATCAGGGTTATGTTTGACTTTGGAGGGGCGGGTGGTGGTGGTGGTGCCCAGGGATGGGCGTGGTCATGATGGCCGTGGCCAGGATCTGGTGTGGTCATGTTGGGCATTTGACACAGGCTCAAGATGCACTTTTCCCCCTACTCTTCTTCCTTTCCACAGTGCTCCCCGGCCTCCAGAAGCACTCGATGGCCCAAAATGGGCCCTTCAGAGGCTCCACAAGACCCCCCCCCCCCCCCCGTGACCCATTTCCTGCCTCACCAGTCTCTAGCAGCACTCTGCTCGTGAGGCCTCCACGTGGCCTGTTTTGGCCAGCAGAGTGATGCTGGAGGCCGAGGAGGCAGAAAACGGACCATGCCAGGCCTACCCATCACCTATTTTGGCTAGCAGAGGAACCGCAGGACGGTCCTTTGGTATTTCCAGGCTGGTCCTGCGGGCCAGATTTTACACCCTGTGGGTTGGATACAGCCCGCAGGTCTTTAGTCTGACACTCCTTTTAGTTTTCTTTTATTTTTTAATACAAATTATACATATTATAGGAACAAAGCGTTGTGTGGGTTTTTTTTCTTTCCTCCTCTCATTTACATAGTCCATTTTACATCATAGTCTTGTTTTCACTTTCAACCAAATTATTCTCTTCCATTATTTTTCTTCTTCATAGTTATTTTTTCTTAGCACCTAAACAATATCTTCCATTGCCCCTTCACAATTTCACCAAATCTTCATTTCTTATTCTCTCCATTGGTATATTTTCCTACAAACAGCGTAAATCCTCTAATTCAATTTAAACTTAGAGAGCGTTTCTTCACAGTTTTTTTTCTACATTTAACAATATACTATAATTTCTTTATTTCTTAATTACTTACATAACCATAACAATCTTACGACTATTCTCTTTATTTCTACTAATGTAACTCCTTTTCCCTTTCTTCCATTTTTAGCCATTTTTCTCTTGGGCTCTCAAAAGTTTCAGTTTTAATTCTTTTTCTTCCCCTTTCCCCTAACTTCTTATTTTTCTTTTCCCTGTTTTTGTGATTGTTGTATCTCTTCTTCAGAGTATTTCCTTTTTTTTTATTCTAGTAACTTTCCCCAGGGTTTTCCCTGTTCTCCTCCTTTCCTTACTATTTTGTGGTTTCTTTTTTTGGTGGGGGGGGGGAATCTCCCCCTTTGAGTTTGACATTCCTTTTGTAAATTATCTGTTGAAATTTGAATCCAAATCCCCAAATGTTTCAAAGGGGATAATTTGGGTATTTGGATTCAAATCAGAGAAAGCAGAATAGGGAAATGTTGAAAAAAGTGTAAAACCTTTGGAGACACAGAAAAGGCATCATTTGTCAATCATCTCCAGTCTTGGCCACTCGAAGATGTGTGAACTTCAACTCCCCAAATTCCCGAGCTAGCAAGCTTACTGGGGGATTCTGGGAGTTGAAGTCCACACATCGTCAAGCGAGCAAGGTTGAGAAATAAAATTGGTCCAAATCAAAACTGTTCTGGCACCCCCAACGTTGCCGCGTGGGCCAATGCAAGAACGCCTGGCTTTGTCCGATGGCGTTTGGTTCAAAAAGTGAAGGGAAGCTCACCTGTTTCAACACCTCCTGCTTGTTCTTGTTCAGCTCCTCATACTTGATCTTCCACTGGCTCAGTTCACCTTCCAGCTTCTCAATGTTCCTGCTGAGGGACAGCTTGTCCCTGAAGGAGGCAAGACAACAGCAAGGCTGAGAAATGGCACTGAATGCAACAGAGCTCTCTCTCTCTCTGCAGAAGCTCCCCATCTGCTGCTCCTGGGGTGGAATGCAGTCTGGATTCCCAGGAGGGAGGGGCTGTTCCAGAAGGCAAAGAGGCAGCAGAGCTTAGAAAGTCTGGTAGGCAGGAAGAGGGCAGGGGTGAGTTGCTACCGGCATTACTGCCAGTTCAGTGTGCACAAAAAGTTTCTGCGCATGTGCTCGCTTCACTCATGTGCACACCAGATGTGCGCTCCGCGTGCATACGCATTTGCAAGTAAAAAGGTCTGTGCATGGCCAAAATCTAAAAAAATGGGGGGAAAATAATTTTTTGAAATGAAAGTTGTTCTGTGCATGCGCAGAACTGAAAAAACAAAATGGCACCACTGTAGGAGAACCGGTTCAGAGGTGTGGCAGGCCTGGGTCGCTACTGGTTCCAGTAACGCAGGCTGCCAAGTTGCTACCTATTCAGCTGAACCCACCTCTTAAATAGGCTAGGCTTGAAGAGCCCCGAGAAGGCAGGAGCGTTTGAAGGAAGGTCCTCATCCTTCGAGATCTCCTGCTCCTCCTGATCCGGGTCCTCCAAAATGAAAGCCTCGCTGAGCGCCGAGGATTTCAGAGATGGGTGACGGACCCGCCTGGTGGTGGAGGGAGCCTCCTGCCTGGGCTGGGAAAAGCTGGGAGCGATGGGTACTTGGTCACGCTTCTGCATCCCCTGGGCTATGACCTGAGAGATGGCATGGGCAACCACGGCCTGCATGTGGGTGGATAACTCAGGTTCCTGAGCTAAAGCAGTGTCCGACCCAATGGGGTCCCTGGAAGGAGGAGGAACTTGCCAGGCAAGGATGGAATCAGCTAGCCCCCCAGGATTAGGATCCTTGGGGGCAGGCCCTGACTCAGAAACACATGAAAAGGCAGGAGAGCCCAGTTCAGCCAGAGACCTATCCAGGGAGAGATCCTGGGAATCCACTTCCTCATCAATCACTGACAGGCGATTCCCCCTTGGGAGTGGTGGAATGACCGGAGACCCAATCAAGGCCAGCTAACCACTCTGCAGCTATCTGCTGAAGCGTGGCTGAGCGGAAAGGCCAACGGAAAAAAAGGGTGCGAATTCGGGCCGCCGCTCCAGTGCGAGGGAGAAGGGGGAGGTAAAGATGGTGGCCGCTTTGATTTAAAACAGCCACGCACCTCTCCACGGCAGGCTGCGCCCTCCGAAAGGCGAAGAAATCGGCAAAAAAATTCAACTAAAAGAGGAACCGCCGGCAGCCGCCGGAAGCCTCTCCTCTCCTGCCGCGCTTTAAAGCAAATACAGCAGCTCTCCGCTGCCGTCCAAACACGGTGCGGCAAGCAGAGCACCCCCCCCCACCACGCCTACCTCCGAGTCTCTAAGTCAAACGACATGAAGCAAAAAAACAATTTAAACTGTGCTAGTGATGGGGAAAAAAATAAAGGAAAACAAAAGGGAAAAAGCTAGAAGGAGAGTCCAAGCCTAGTTAAATTACGCCGGAGCTCACAAATCCAAGTCCTGAACGGGCAGACTGAGGAAAAATTCTGGCGCCAAGTAACACCAGGAGGCATGGCCAAGTAAAAAGATTCCTCAGTCCCAGGGCAACCAGACTGATTTAACCCGTCGCTTGGACTCTCCAAGCGGTGCACAGGAAAAGTAATTAAATCCTGTTGAATCAGTTACTTGTGTGTGCTTTCTGGATGCGATTGCTGCTGCAAACTCTGACACATCCTTGCAGCAAATGGCAAACAGCCAGGTGAGCATATTCAGCACATTATTGCAGCCTGATTCAGCATGAGCAGCTGATTGGCGGGTGGATTGGCCTCTCCGAATACCCCCAATCAGCTGTTCCAGGCTGCAGGGATTGCCACCGACCTTCGTCTCCTCGGTGCCTAGTGTTTTTGGCTACATTCGGTGTATAAGACACACCCAAATTTTCACCCTCTTTTANCCTATCTCAAGTCCTTGGAAAGGACTCAGTAGGTGGATGAAAATGCCAAGCCCACTCTAAACATCTGGCTGACTGCACACCCAACTGTAATAGTACCAAACTGTGATTAATCAATAGCCTTGGGAACTTATGCAATGTATTGTTTCAAGATCCTACAGAAATACGTGGGACTCAAGCAACCGGGGGTTATATTAACAGCATTTAACTTAATTTAAATTATATGTAATTATAAAATAAATTCATGGAGCATTTTCCCCACTACTCTGAGGAGGCTGCCCCCTCCCCCAATGCCAATATACAGGTAGTCCTTGATGTATGACCAAAACTGAGCCCAAATTTTCTGTTGGTAAGTGAGACATTTGTGAAGTGGATTTTGCCCCATTTTACGACTTTTCTTGCCACAGCTGTTAAGTGCATCCCTGCAATTGTTAAGTTAGGAACATGGTTGTTAAGTGAACCTGGCTTCCCCATTGACTTTGCTGTTCAGAAGGTCGCAAAAGGGGGCGATCATGTGACCCGCGGACACTGCGACTGTCAGAAGTACATGCCAGTTTCCAAGCCTCTGAATTTTGATCATGTGACCATGGGAATGTCGCAAAAGTCACGCGTGTGAAAAACTGTTTTCAGTGCCGTTGTAACTTTGAACAGACACTAAATGAGCTGTTATAAACCGAGGACTACCTGTACACTAACCAGAATCCAAATGAGGTTCTTGGTGCAGAAGAGTTGCAAGCATTTCCCCCCCCCCGCGCAAGTCATAGTTCCAGAGCAGAGAGGGTTTCCTCCCCCACCAAAACTCGAGCCCCAATTACCTTATTCTTCTCAAACAGCTCCGTTTGGATGGTCTTGAAATCCGTGTCAAGAGCGCAGGTGGTTTGTCTCCGCTTCCGAGCCAGGATTTCTTCCAGATCTTCGATTTGGGCCTTCAGCTTCTTATTCTCCCGTTCCAGATTCAGCTTCTCTGTTTCCAGCCGTTCTCGCTTGCCCCATTCGGCTGCGTTCTCAGCCTGGAGACGCTCCATCTTTGGCATGGGGAGAAAGAGGTGTGTGGGTGTGAGGTCAACGTGACTGTTGGGCTCCTTGTCACACACTGGAGCACAAAGTGACCTGCTGTCATGGGAGAGAGCTATGGCCAGTCTAGAGAAAAGAAAGACTAGTGTAGAGGTTATACAAAGGTTACATACAGGCATGAGCAGCAAACTGCCATGTGCCTTAGTAACCGATGACCTCAACTGTCTATGAGCTCACCTAATTAGTAGAACCAGGCCCTACCAGGAACGATGGTGTTAGGTGAGACTCTACCCTGGCTGGGATGGTCTTAGAGACTGACAAGGAGAATACGCCAATAACAATGCTGTGGCTACCTAGGCTCTTGCTTTGCTTGTTGAAACTGTATAAAAGCCAAATAAACTCTCGGGAGGCAGACAGACATTTGGACACCTGCTCTGATGGATTTCTGAGTCCTACAGACTAGGGGGGACATGATAGCAGTCTTCCAGTATTTGATGGGCTGCCACAAAGAGGGGGGGGGGATTTCAATTTGTTTTCTAAAGCACCAAAAGGCAAGACAAGAAACAATGGATGAAAACTAATCAAGGAGAAAAAGCAACCTGGAATTAAGGAGAAACTTTGTAACAGTGAGGACAATTAACCAGTGGAACAGCTTGCCACCAGAAATCATGAGTACCCTATCTTTGGAGGTTTTTAGGAAGGGACTAGGAAGTCCCTTATCTGAAATGGTGTAGGATCTCCTGCTTGAGCAGGCGGTTGGACTAGAAGACCCCCAAGGTCCCTTCCAGCTCCATTCTGTTCTGAATTCCTTGAATATCATTTGGGTATGCTCTCAAACAATACTCTGCGTTCACAATCACAATGGAGTTGTTTGAGGGAAGCTATGGTATGATTTTCAAGCATACTGTACTTCTATCCAGCCTTGGCTGATTAGAAAAGCAACAGCTAGGAAACAACAGGAAATAAGAATTTGGACAATGTAGTTTGCATTATAGAAGAAGTAGGAATTAGCAATAAGAATGTACGAAAAGTAGGATTTATAAAAGTAGGAAAAGTTCTATATTAGTAGAAGAACAACAAAGACTGTCTGATACAAATAACCAAACATAAACTAATAAGCAAAAGAGCAAGAAATAATAGGATGATAAGTGTAAAACTAAAATGTATTGCGAGGGAAATAGTGTTTGTAAAGATGCACCAATAGATATCTGCTGTAAGAAGGAATGTGTAGTTCCGATGCTATTTGTAAGTGCTGTGTATGTTTTTTTCAATGTGCATAAGTTTTTATAATAATAATAAAAAAAAGAAAAGCAACAGAAGTTGCCTTCAGACGTTGTGGGTGCTTCAACACTAGAGGTTTTTAAGAAGAAACTGGATGCCCACGTCTCAAATTTTATAGGGTCTCCTGCTTGAGCAAAGGTTTGGGCTAGAAGACCTCCAAGGTCCCTTCCAGTTCTATTCTGATTGACTTTGAACAGCTTATTCAGGAGGAAAAGCAGACTTTCTCCAGGTAATAAATATTGCGCTTTATTGGAACAATGGCCTAAATATTGATATATAAAACACTTACAAAGATAGCATGAATCATACGGCTGCCTACAATGGCCGCATAGATATAACATTTGTGCTTATATTGGGACCAGGGTATTGAACTAAGATAAAGCTACATTCTCAGCACATGCTAACTTTGGTTAATTTTAATTAATTTAACAATTGTTAGCTTTGTGGTGCAAACACAACAATTTTCACCCATGCAAGGCTTACTTGTGAATGCATTTTACAGAGGTAAGAATAGATCTAGACCAAGAGAGGAGGCGACATCTAACAGACTTTGGGAAGAAAGAAGAAGCTGCACTTGATTCCTTAACAAGGAATCTGGAAAATGTAAGGAGCTGCCCCGCGTTGCTTCGGCCCAGTCTACCAATGCGAAGAGGAAACAAGGCACAATTTGGGGAGCAAGCTGGCCACGCCCACCCAATTGGCTACACCCAGTGAGTGGCATCAAGCTGGCCATGCCCACCCAGTCAGCCACGCCCAGCCAGCCCCCAAGGTCAACCACAACCCTGATGCCACCCTCAATGAAATTGTTTTTCGCACCCCTGGTCTATGTGATCTGTGGCCAATCATGTCCAGCTCTGACGTTTAGGCAGCAAAATCTCTTGCTGGAATCTGGAGTCAAAGACTTCTACTTTCCTCCTCCAAATCCCAAGTGAAATCCCAAATTAAAGGTTTAAGGTTCTAGATCAGGGGTCCCAAATCTGTGGGCTGCAACCCACTACGGGGCCATAGCCTAATCAACATTGGGTTGCATGAGTGGCTGGCCGGTGCATGCATGTCCGTGCGCATGGGCCCACTCGTTATCACGGGCACTTGTGGTCCCACTTATGTGAGTGTCATCACAAACATCACAGGGGCTTGCACGCATGCGCTTGCCCTTCCCGCAAAATCATACCCTCCCCTGCTCCAGGCCACCGAGACAAAAAAGTTTGAGGATCTCTGCTGTGGATCAACTCTTTGACCTCAGCTCCTCAGAATTCAATGGCACAGGTTCTAAATCAGTGTTTCTCAACCTTGGCAACTTGAAGATGTCCAGACTTCAACTTCCAGAATTCCCCAGCCAGCATTCACTGAACTTCAATGGGACAAAAGGACATTCAGGGGATGCCCACGAGCAAATAGCGAATTCATTCTTCCCTTCTGCCTCACCTCTGACCGTAACTCGACCAGTTTCTTGTCCATATTTGAGCGAGCCCCCAGTTCGTCTTCTAGGTCCTCAGAGATGCGTCCCAGCTCATCCTGGTGAATCTCCTTGAGAATGTTCAGCTAGAGACAAAAAAAAAGAGTTATAAATTCCATTTGTGTAACAATCAGTCTTGGTGGATCAGATTGAGGCATTAGAAAGAGAGGTCCTTCAATGTCTGCAGCCACCAATGGCCACCTAGATTGTGCCCACTAACTTCCAAAATATTAATAGATTAACAGAGTTGGAAGGTACCTTGTAGCTCATCTAGCCCAAACAGGAGACCCTACACCATTTCTGACAGATGGCAGTCTCTTCTTGAAAGCTTCCAGGGATGAAGCTCCCACAACTTCTGAAGGCAACNTTTTTTATAGTGTGGTGACCAAAACTGGATGCAGGATTCTAGGTGTGGCCTTACTAAGGCTTTATAGAGTGGCATTAGTACGTCCCTTGATCTTGATCGTATCCCTCCGCTAATGCAATTTAGGATTGCGCTGGCTTTTTTGTCTCCTGCTGGCTCATAAATTGATTCAGACTCCTGCCGTAAGAGCTTTAAAGATGATGACCAACAGTTTGAATTGGACATGGAAGCAAAGGGGCAGCCAACGCAGCTTGCTTTACAACCTGAAATGCCAGTTCAGCCTGGATTAAATCTCCAAACTCCATCTTTGGGTTGATAGAGCAGATGGCTTGCTGTCCACATATCATGGCAGATGATGATATTCGTAGCAGAGCAAACTAGAGGGGAACTCATATGAGAGGTGCGGGCAGAAGTGTTCAGGAGATGGCAAGTTCATTGCCTATGTTCCATTTTATTGTATGGAGCGATGGTTCCCAAACTTGGCAACTTTAAGACTTGGGGACTTCAGCTCTGCTGGCTGGAGAATTCTAGGAGTTGAAGTCCCCAAGTCTTAAAGTTGCCAAGTTTGGGAACCACTGGTATGGAGGATCACCAGGATCAGGTATCCAGAATAATCTGCCAGATCGCCCTTGGGTGATCTGTTGTGTAAATCTAACCGTGAGTGAAGATGAATGAACCAGCCCTTCAATGGCATCTGTCTGCCCACTTAACTGGAACCCAGTGAGCCAAATCCCTGCAAAACCATTGCATCATTCCTCAGCATGGGAACCGGGAGGAATTGTTCAAACTGTAACTACTTTGGGGAACAATTAATTCTTCATTATCTATATTCTGCAAATGTAAACACGCTTGTCTTAGCAATCCGTTCACATCAGCCTCTGTCTTTGAGGCCAGCAGTTTTCTTTTGATGTACACCAGCTGCTTTTATGAGAGCCAACAATTCTCTTTCACGCAGAAAAATGTTTCATTGCTGGCACCCTGCCCATCCCAGCCGAACATCTCTGTTGCATTGTAATAAGCCTTGTTGTTCTTTCAAGTATTTATATGTCCTTCATTCTGGAGGTGGGGGAGAGAGAGAGAGAGAGAGAGAGAGAGAGAGAGAGAGAAGGAGAGAGAAAGAGAAAGAGGGAGAGGAAGACAGAGAGAGTGAGAAGAAGAGATAGAAAAAGAGAGAGGGAGAGAGAGAGGAAGGGAGGAGGGAGAGGGGGAGACAGAGTGAGAGAGGGAGAGGGAGAGAGAGAGGAAGAAAGAGAGAGAGAGAGAGGAAGAGAGAGGAAGACAGAGAGTAAGACAGAGAAGAAGAAGAAGAGAGAAAGAGAGATGGAGAGAGAGAGGAAGGGAGGAGTGAGAGAATGAGGGAGGAAGACAGAGAGAAGAAGAGAGAGAGAGAGAAGGAGAGAGAGAAGAGAGAGAGAAAGAGGGAGGAGGGGGAGAAAGAGGTAGAGGGAGGGGGGGAGAAAGGAAGAAATGGAGAGAAGAGAGAGAGAGGGAGAGAGAGAGTGAAGAAGACAGAGAGAGAAGAAGAGAGAGGGAGAGATGGAGGGAGGATGGAAAGAAGGAGAGGGAGGGAGAGAGAAAGAAATGGAGAGAAGAGAGAGTGAGTGAAGAGGACAGAGAGGAAGAGAGAGAGACAGAGAGACAGAGAGAGATAAACCATTTCAATGTTGTGAAAATGCAAAGTTTTCAGAGCTCCCTAAGACGTTTGCACAATCAAAAGAATCTTCTCTTTGACTGCTGTTATCCCAGGAAATCAAATCAAAGAGGAATAGTAGCTGAACCGCAGAAGGTGAGAGAATTCTGCCTTTACAAATCAGCAGCAAAACCCCAAGGTGGGTTTGCACAAAAGGCTTAATTAACCAGGGCAGTGAAAACTAGAGGCGGCATTCACACAACAGAAAAGCTTGACATTGTTTTTATTTTCTTTGAAGGGTAGGAATCCATCTGATTTTACTAATGGTCAGTCTTCAGGCAATGCTTGAGCACTGACTGGCTGGGGAATTCTGAGAGTTAAAGTCCACAACTCTTAAAGTTGCCAAGGTTGAACGCCCCCCTCCTCTAAATTTGTGGTGGGTGGGTTTGAAATGTTTTTCTGGGGTGGCTCCATACTGAAATAAAAAAGGAATCTAATGCATCCTACAGAATTAATGGCTTCATTCATATCCTGCGCTATAGTACTCTAAACTGTTGCATTTTAGCCCTGTTCTGCTGAATAAGCCACGCTTGGCTGGATTTGGGTAGAACATCGCACGATAAACCACACAAACCATAATTGCCGAATTGAGGCAGGGCACCCAGCCAAAACCAAACCAGCCACATTCTGGCACAATGTCAGAGGTGAACAGCACCGATTCCAGTGGTTTGGGATGAAAGGGCGCTTGGAAGCACTGAAAAGCAAGCATAAACTCTGGCATATGCATCCACCATGCCCAAGATTTGGCACTTCCTTATCTCAGTTTAGAGCGAACACTGTGCGATTCACACGTTGGATTCTGAGCCCTGGGAAAACCATGAGTTGCCTTGCTCAGGGACTGTGTTTCAAATTCTTTTAGAACCTCTTCTGTAGGTGTGGCCTACATTGTGGGAGCGGCTTGCTGGCCATGTGACTGGGTGGGCGTGGCCAACTTTTAAAATGTGGTGAAACTCACTTAACAATACTCTTGCTTAGCAATCAAAATGTTAGCTCAGAAACTCTGGCATTGAAGTGTGCAAGTCTTAAAGCTGTCAAGTTATAAGACCCTTGCACCCCTAACCCTTTAGGAAACCCCCCCTCCAGGGGTGTTCAAACTTGACAGCTTTAAGACTTGTGGACTTCAACTCCCAGAATTCCTCCTTCAGTCATGCTGGCTCAGGAGCTCTGGCATTGAAGTGCGCAAGCCTTAAAGCTGTCAAGTTACAAGTCCCTTGCACCCCTAACACTTTAGAAAAAAAAACCAGGGGTGTTCAAACTTGACAGCTTTAAGACTTGTGGACTTCAACTCCCAGAATTCCTCCTCTCGCTCTTCATCTTGATGATGTCTGTGGGGGGAGGGAGCTGGAACCGGTTCTAAACGGCATGGTAGATTTGTGGAACCTCTTCTATAGAAGAGGTTGGAACTGGCAGGAACCCACCCCTGGAGTGCGTCACCCCTGGAGTGCGCCCAAACCCCCAAAATGCAATGTGCCCCTTCTTTGCATGCCACCCGCACGTGGTAGAAGCCTGAAGGCCAGCTGGCTGGCAGGAGGCATGCCCTCATGCGCAGAGGAGCTGAATTGGGGTGACGGCTCGCATGCCATCAGAGAGGGGGAGCCGCGTGGGCACCTCTGGCATGCGTGCCATAGGTTCGCAATCACAGTTTTAGCTGCTTCCGATCTATAAGCAGTCCTCGACTTGTGACCACAACTGAGCACACCTTTTCTGCTGCTAAGCGACAGTGTTGCTGAAGGAGTTTTGCTCCGTTCTGATGACCTTTCTCGCTGCAGTTGTGAGGGGAATCCACGCAGCTGTTAAGTTGGTCACATGGTTGTTAAGTGACTCTGGTTTTCCACCTTGAAAAGTCTTGTCAGAAAGTCGCAAAAGACGATCCCACTGTGACCGTCATGAATAGGAGCCAGTTGCCAAGCATCTGAATGTTGATCACGTGACCCTGGGGATGTGGCAATAGTCGTAAATATGAAAAATGGCCACAAGTGGCTCTTTCCAATGTAACTTCGAATGATCCCTAAGTGAATGTTTTTAAGGGGAGGAACGCCTCTTTCCTGAAAATTCAAAATTTGTCAAAGATGGTAGGAAATATGGCCTTGAAAAATTGACAGAACAGAATAACAGGCTTGGGAGGGACCTTGGAGGTCTTCTAGTCCAACCCCCTGACCAAGAAGGAGGACCGATACGCCTCTGGAAAAAGGGCTGTCCACTCTCTTCTTTAAAAACCTCCAGTGTTGTTGAACCCACAACTTACAACTTTGCAAAAGGTGAGGGGAATATCCCAGGAAACCTGTTAAATAAATAATTAGTTGAGCTATGGGAAACTTGACATTGTCCCCCCACCCCCAATTTATTATGATAAACCAATGGAATGATATTTTGGGTTAGGGTGGGGGTGAAGGGAAAGCAGCTCACAGCCCAGGGCTTCCCATCCCTCTGACCAGTGGTGAAATTCAAATATTATTAGTACCAGTTCTGTGGGCGTGGCTTGGTGGGCGTGGCAGGGAAAGGATACTGCAAAATCCCCATTCCCTCCCGACTCTGGGGCCAGCCAGAGATGGCATTTGCCGATTCTCTGAAGTACTCAAAATTTCCGCTACCGGTTCCCCAAACAACTCAAAATTTCCACTACCGGTTCTCCAAACTACTCAAAATTTCCACTACCGGTTCTCCAATCTACTCAAAATTTCCACTACCGGTTCTCCAAACTACTCAAAATTTCCACTACCGGTTCTCCAAACTACTCAAAATTTCCACTACCGGTTCTCCACACTACTCAAAATTTCCGCT